TGTCTGTACATTCCATCTGGAGAAGTCCACCTTTTGTGTTATTGAAAATATGTATTTGCAACAAATTTATCATGCAACCCCCGCTTTATGTCTATCACCAAGACTATATTTCCCATCATCTTTATTTCCAGACTGCATTCCAATTGCCAATAGTTATCAAAGCATCTTGATGCAGGTTCGATCAATTTCAGGGTCAAGAAATTGGTAAAATCTTTAATTTCAGCATCTCTCCCTTGAGAGGTTGGTGTATCAATTTGAGTAATAGTCATACTAACTGGATCTCCTTGTATGTGGCTAGATATTAAGCTATCGCTGACAGGGCTCACAGTTCGGGATAGATCTTGAAATGTCCTTTTTGATGATAAGTGCCATGCCATTCCTCATGATTGTCATTCCTAGGATAGTAAACAAATGATTGCCTGATTTTAAATGGCCAATACCAGTCCATTTCAGCTAACACCTAGAATATCAATCATTTGGTGCTCCATTTCACTTTTGACATCTTCCAACTTCTTAGATTCACCCTTCGTACATTGCAAGTTCCAATGATTAATAAATGTTTGCAGCTGTCGCTTCTCATTTTGAGTCCTGCCCCTTCAGCGAAAGGAGGTTCCAAAGGCTTTATTCTCCCAGGCTTTATTCCATCGACTGCACTGTGGTCCACTGTTTTGAGAAGGCAGCTCTTCCTGTCATATTTTCAGTGCCGTCTGACCCGAGGGGCTCTTTTTCTGCCTCTCCTTCTGGCGATGTTCTGCTGCTGTTCACGAGGTTTTCAGTGTGGGATCATGTTTCACTGTTACCCCTAAGGTTCTCAATGGCTAATTCTGCTGACGTGGGCAGTCTAGTCCTTCCTCAGTCTCTTCTTAGTCAGGAAGCTCTGCTGAAACTGGTTCACTTGTGGTGACCCTGCCGGCATTGAAATACCGTGACACAGCTCCCCACATCAGACAAGCCACCACAGTACAGCACACCGACAAACTAGTAGAATTTCCATTTTAGTCACCAAAGATCATTTATAAGATTCATGAGGATAGTCTCGTATATTTGTCTCTTTCCATTGCATTTCTTCCTAATTCTCCAAGAGGCTTCCTTTTAGCATAAGCATATTTTTGTTTGAATAACCTCCTTTAGCTATTCTTTAATAATAGGTTCTAATGATAGTCTTTCATATTTCCTTTATCTGAGAAAGTATTCTCCATCATTCTTTTAATAGTTAAGATTTTTTTATACGTAATTTTTATTTTGAATTAGGGGAGAATTTATATTTCAGATATTCAAGTTTGCATTCAACAACTTATTAAATCCTCCTTTAACTTTCCCTAGCACCCCTTTTTATTCTCCCTCTTGTGGGATACTATCTTCTACTTCACCCAGTTAACACCTGTCTACCCTCTAGCTTTTTGCTTCATCTTCCCTTCCTTGCCTTCTCCTGGGTGGCAGCATTAAAAAGTCTATTTTCTTGGTTTCTTGAATGTCTATGTCCTTGAGGTGGGTCTTCTACACAGAGGCATCACTTGGCTGGAGGTGTGGTTTTTGCCCACGGTAACAACGGGTATGACTTCTTTTACACCTTCTATGAGGTAAGACTTAATCCCACCCTAATTCTGTCCAGTAGCATAGCAGAGAACCCGCTCTAAAGTAGGGTTAAAACCAGATAGAGAGACCAGGATTTATAATACATGACTTAAGGCATTAAGGCTACAAGTGCCGTATTACTTGACTACATCTCAACATCAGATGGAGGTTGGCTGAAAGCAAAGAAAGCATCAAGATATTTGTGTCTAATGACTACACAAAGGCATTCAACTGTAGGGATCAAAACAAACTATGGTAACATTGAGAAGCATGAAAATTCCAGAACGTCGTGTTCAGCAGGAACCTGTGGCAGTTAGTAGAACAAGGGAATACCATGTGGTTTAAAATCAGGAACGGTGTGCATGGGGTTTGTATCCTTCCACCATACTTATTAAATACACGTGCAGGGCAAACAATCAGAGAAGCTGGACTATATGAAAATTGGAAATAACTGGATTGGAGGAAGGCTTATTAACCACCTATGATATGCAGATAACACAATCTTGATTCTGAAAGCAAGAAGGACTTGAACCCCTTGCTGACGATCAAGGACCACAGCCTAGAATAGATTAAAACTCAAGGTCAAGTAAACCAAAATCGTCATAAACAACTGGACCAATAGATAGCATCATGGTAAGTGGAGAAAAAGATTGAAATTTTCAAGAACTTGATTTTGCTTTGATCCACAATGAATGCTCATGGAAGCAGCAGTTAGGAAATCCAGCGATGTACTGCATTGGGCAAAGCATTGAAGAGCAAGGATGTAACTTTGAGGACTAAAAACTGTTTGACCCAATTTATGCTATTTTCAATCTCCTTCCGTGCAAGTGACAGTTGGACATGGAATAAGGAAGACCAAAGAAGAATTGATGTATTTGAATTATGGTGCCGATGAGAAGTTCTGAAAGTACCCAGGACTTCCAGAGCAAACAAATCTGTCTCAGAAGAAGTATAGCCAGAATGTGCCTTAGAACCAAGGATGGTGAGCCTCCATCTCACTTACTTTGGACATGTTATCAGACCAGTCCCTGGAGGAGGACATGCTTGGTGAAATTACAAGGTCAGTGAAAAAGGGAAAAGGCCTTCAATGAGATGGACTGATGTAGTGGCTGTAGCAATGGTCTCACACACAGGGGCAATTGTGTGGACAGTATACGACCAGACAAGGTTTTCTTCTGTTGTACAAAAATCACTGAGTCAAAATCAATTTGACAGCACCTAATAATTCAACATCCTAAGGAAATAGAAATCAAACATTGTAAAAGTGCTTTAAACACATATAATCACTATAGCTTGGCTTAAAATAATAGAAATTGGGTGGGGGGGGGTGGAAGAAACTAAATTATGTCATAAGACCAAGTTTAAAAAACTGATAAAAATCACACATGAAAATAATGTAATCACTAAAGTAGATGGTTTATAAAATAAATTATGAGAACACCATGAGGGTACGGGGAAGGTGTGGGGGAGAATGGGGAGAAATGGGGAACTGACAGGGGTCCTCAAACTAC